TTTAGCTTTAGTCTGGCTAGTTAGGCGTAAGAATAAAGTCCTCTTTTATCTGCCCGTTCTAGTTATTATTCGTGCTATTAACTATCGATTTATATTGCTATTTCCTTAAGTTTATAAAGTATTAGAAGCCTTTCGCCTTATGCAATTTTATTCTTAATATCTTTTTTAAAACCTCTGTAGTATTATACTTGCAGAGCTTTATCTCCCTATAATAGCTTAAACGCGATTTATATAAATTCTAAAGTATAGCGGCTAGTTAAGCCCTTCTGCTTTAGAACTGCTATTTTCTATTCTGCTGTCCGTTTTTTATCGGTGTCTCCGAAAGTTATCTAAAGTACTAACTTAAAGTATCTATAGTTACTAAATATAATATTGGTTTCTAGTTTCTAATTATCTGTATTAGCGTTGCCGAGCTAGTCTATAAGCATTAGGTTAAACCAGTTAAATACTTTTTTTTTTAAGAAAGTAGCTGCTATACAGACCTTATCCGATTTAAATTTAAGGTTACTTTAGTTTGTGCGCAGGTATAGCCTTATCTGCGTTATAAATGCTTGTAAAGCTCCTCTTTCCCTAGTAAACTTTTCGGGCTTATTTATTTTATAGCCTCTATAGCTAACTACTTTAGTAGTAGTAAGCTCCTTTTAGATAGTCTAGAGATTTCCCTATAGGGCTATAATCTTTTTATTCTTAGTATTACTAGCTTCTTCTAGTGTTTATATTTATGTAAGCAACGCCTGTATACGTATTGCTACCTTAGTTATAGTTAGGGTTAGTCTAGTAGTTATACTACCTAAAGGGGTTAGTAGGGCTATCTTAATTAATTGTTTATATATAACTCCTTTAATATAGCGGTGTTTAAAGTATAACAGGTTGTTTCTTCTATACCTTCTAAGTATCTTATACTAAGGCAGGGTATAGGTAAGTTATTATTAGGGTGCAATAGTTTTTAAAAGGTAAGGTAATAATTAATTAAGGTCTAAAACGGGGTTATTACTTTTAATAGGTAGTATTAAAGTCTTAAGTTAAATATAAGGTTCCTATTTATATAAAGGAGCGTCCCTTTATATAAAAGCTCTATCCTAAAAAACCTTTTACTTATTCTGCTCTTAAAGCTCGCAGCCTTTAAGCGCCTTAAGCCTAATAAGCGCTTATTCGGCTCTATACTTACTTCTCTCTACGAGCCTAATAAGCCATTACGTAACCCTGTCCTTATAATATCCTATTTTTAGATTGTTCCTATCTACTAGCAGTCTGTAGGAGAATCCAGGATCCCTATACGTCCTACACGTGACCCTTTTAGTCCTATAACCTAGTTCTGCGTAATTAGTCTTATCTACTTACTTATCTCCGCGAGTGCCTCTGCGCTCGGGTTGTTCGTATTACGGGTTGTAATATTAGTACGCCCGATGCCTTTTTATAGTTAATTTTAATAGCAAGGTTAAGATTAATTAGGAAACTGTTGTTTTCGTCCTTTTTAAGTATAATATTTCCGACCGATATATTGCGATAGAGGACGTTTTTTTCTAATAATAATTTATATCCTAATATAGTTAGCTAGAGTTAGGGGCCTGTTTAACTAAACTAACCTTTTATCCCTTCTAAAATCCCGTTTATTATAGCTACTAGCGAGCTTATATTATATATACTTTTCCTAACGCGTTATATTACTAACCGATAATATACTCGGTTTTATTATAAGCTATCCCCTTTAGTAGGAGAATCTAAATATAACTGTTTTAGAGGTTGCATAAACTAATAATAAAAGCTAGAGCGCCTCTTTTACGTAATACTATTGCTTCTGCCTTAACCGCTTATAAGCCTCTCTAATACCGGAGCTTTAGGCTTAGGGAATTCTGCGAGTAGTTAGAAGTTTAGGTGTTGTTGTAGTAGATACCTCCCGTCCCTATTTCTAAGCCTTTTGCGTAAATTGTTGCGGATATTAATAATAGCACCCTTATTATAAATAATTTTATAATAGTAATACTCTGCTATATTTTTTACACCTGTATCTATTACCTTCTTAAGTAGAGGCCTTTTCTCCGGCCGCTTTTTAAATTCCTAGGAGTCTTTAATAATAAAAGGCTAGCCGGCTGTATTATAGACTTTCTAATAGCTTATTACTTAACCTGCTATATAATACTGCCGCTTTATAATATTATTTAGATAATATTGCTCCGGTTATATATTCTGCGTGATTTTAATATACTTACTGCCCTTTTCCCCGCAAATAGTAGGGTTAAACCTAAGGTCCTTTAGAGCTATCTATAGATATCCTAAAACTGCAGATATAAATATTAGTGTATTCTTATATATATTAAATAACTGCGATGCAACCGCTCTAAGTTGGTTAAACGCCTAGAGCCGTATAATAGAACCGCAGAGTGTGAAGCTAGTAACTAATTATCGGGTATTTTGCGCGGTAAAGATCTTGCAAGCATATTAAAAAAGATTAAACCAGGTGCTGCTGTAGTTATCCTCTTGCAGGTTGCTTTTTAGCTTACCTAGGATAAGGACGTTAAACTAGTCGCAGGGAGCACTATTATCGGACGTCTTGTTCCGCTAGCTATAGATAATGCTAATATCCAGCTTCTGTTTGCTAATAGATCCGGGGATAGGCTTATTTAGTGTGGCAAAGCACCGCCGATACCTTAGAGGTTAGAAGCCTTATTTATTTACAAACTAGAGAAATTAGTTAATATAGTAATAGAGCTAGTACAGTATATCGGGCTCCGCATAATCCTCCGGCCACTCCGCCCAGCCAGTGTTGTCCGTGTGTAGAGGGATTTCGGCTTCCTTATATTGCCTAAATATAGCTGCGGCTATCTTACTAAGCTATAGAACTCTACTAAAGAATATATTAAAGAAGTATAGGTGGTTAATAATAAGATTCCCCTTTAGTTTACTCTTTAGGATTAAATTAACATTCTTTCTTAGGTTAGATATATCCGCAAAACTGCCCGTGTTAAAGAACTAAGGTGTCTGTTAGAATAACGCGGCGAAAAAGGCGGCGGATTAAGGAGGGGTAGTTGGATAGAGGGTAGGTCTCGTCCGTGTAATAAGGTTAAGCACGGCGCTCTATATTTTAGTGTTTTCGGCTTAAGTAATAACAGATTCTATAAGCTTAATAGCCCGTCTAATATTAAAAGTGTTTAGGGTAACCTGTAAACTAAGGTTAAAAAGGTCTCCGCTAAGAGGTCCTGTTCTATTTTCCAAGGTAAAAATAGAAGCGGCCGGGAGGTTTAGTAAAATTGCGATAAGTTTAAGCACTAGGTTTTTTCCAGCTATATTTATTAGCTATATTATAAATATATTAAGGGGGGCGCTTATAAGAGTTTATAACCAGCTGCTTAATATAGTTCGGCGCGTTTTTAGCGCTGGCACGGGTATTTATTAATATATCGCGAAACGAATCGAGTTTATTCTTAATAGGATTAGCTTTAATAGCTTAAAGCTAACTTTCTAAAAGTTAAGCTATAGATAGGAAAGGCCTGTTAAGATTATAATATATATATAGTATTGCAAAGGTGTAAAGGGAAACTTGCTTAAGGCTTAGTTATAGAGATTACGCTGTTCCTTAAAAGGGTTACTACGCCTTAGAGTATAGTAAAGCAGATTTATATTATTATAGCGGTTTTACTAACCCTTTAGCTTATCGACGTGCCAGCCTATATAATCGCCCTATTTTTATAAGCAACTTATATACTATTATTGCAGTTAATTTTATTATAATTTTAAGAAAGTATAAATACTAGTATAACTAGCTATATAATCTACTAAACGTATTTACCGGAGTGCTGTATATAAATAACCCTATATATATAAGGTTATATTCTCCGTTAATCTAATACTTTTAAAATTAAGTTCGAACTTTCTATTCGCTATAATAGCGGCATCTAGATACTTATATATAAGCTTTTTTCCTATATTTCTTACTAAGGTAAACCTAATCCGTATAATATTCTTAATCTAAAATATAGTATTAGCGTTAGGTTTAGAAACTTTTAATTAATTACTGCTTTACCTGTTTTCTATTAAAATAATAAGCCTAAAGTTTATTAAGATCTCTAAAAGAAATATTAGTAGTAGCATCGGCTTATTATAGGAATATTTTCTACACGCTTTTCCTTACTGCTTTATTTAGGTCGTTATATCTAAGTATAAAATATATTCTGCTCTATATAGTATTGTTAAATATACTAACTCTGTTTATTATAAGAAATATAACGCCTTAGAAATACTTTAGCTACCGTAGGAAAACCGATACTAAGCTGTTATATTAGAGGTTATATAGCGATCGTTATTTAAGGAAAATATTAGCCTTATTAAGAAAAAGAACAGCGCTCTAGCGTTAAATAATATTAAGGATTAGAGATAGTTATACTTCTAAAACGGCCGGATCTAAACTAAAGTCTTCTATATAAGCCTTTTAATAGTTAAACTAATATATAACTCCGCTTAGTAAGGGAATAAACTATATAAAAAGGTCTTTTCTAGAACTTAGTAATTTCTTTAGCTGTTAATATCTTTCCTACCCTAGGCGAGCTACTGGAAATAAATAATTAGTCCGCTAAAATAGCCTGTGCCTAAGTAGTAAACCTACTATAGCAGGAAAATTAGGCCTTATCCCTTTCCTAAAATTACGTTATTAAACTTAATATCTTCTAACTTAGACTAATAGCCCTCTATAAGTGCTTAAAGTATTTTTTTTTTTTGCTCTAGGATTATAAATAACTAAAATACTAAGGTATTCTATCTAGTATTCTTAATATCGGCGACGGTAAATTCGCCTATTAGTGTTAGTATTAGTTATATAATCCGTCGGATAAAAGAGTTAGGAAAGTCTAACCCTATTATTTATTTGCTAAACTAAAGCCTAGAACTGTTAAATTATAGATTAAAAGGTTTTTATTTTTTATCTTTTTAGGAACTATACCCCTACTTTTTACCTTATTTTACTATATTTTCTTTATTTTAGCATTAAAATCGATAGCAAAAAAACCTTAATAAGTCTTATTAACTTGCGGCTTGCTATAGTTAGGATTAGCGTTTTTAAACGCTATCGCGTTTACTATAATACGGCCCCTTATAAGAAATTTTAACGGGCCTTTATTTATCCGGAAATAACCGAAGCCTTTATATTTATAGTAGTTAATCCCTTTAAGAAATATAAACTTCCGTCTATTATAAATAAAATTCTGCCTTATCTTAGCTTTAGTCTTATAATATATTAGCGGGAATATATTAAGAGATGCAATTTTTCTTATTAAATAAAACTCCGAGATAGAAAAAGTAGTAGCCACCTTGCCGAAGACCTTTCCGTTATAGCCAAGATAGTAATAATTAAGTTCGAAGCACTTTTCGCCTAAAAGTAAGGTCTTTAACTCGCCTAAATTATATATAAAATATCTTAGTTAATTTAAGCTATTGCAGACTGTAAAAATATATATATTTAGCTAGAATAAGGCCTAAAAAAGGCTAAAGGTAATTTTGCTATACTCTAGAAGCGGCAGGAAACTCTTAGTTATAGATAAGAAATAGTTTTTAAGAAAATCTATAAGTATATTAAAATGCTGGGCACTAATTAAGTTAGGGGAAAAACTGCTCTCCTAGTAGGCTTTTAGCTAAAAAAGGAAACTAAATAAAAGATAAGGCGAAATCTAAAAGTAAAATTAGAATAAAACCGTATTTATAAAGAATCTACTTATAGTTAGCTTATTTTTTCTAAGGCAGACAGCTTTTATATCTTTTAGCAATAACCGTAAAATATTTCTTAGTTCGTCCGACTTTATATTTAAGTAAGTACTAAAAAACTTATTATTCTTATCTAGTTCTAGGTTAGTATTACGCCGATATATAAAGATACCTAGGATATAGACCAAATTACTGCCGTATAATAAATAAGTACTCTTTATACTTATTATTTTTACTTAACTTAGAAGGCGTTTCTATAATTTTATACTTATAGTTTGCTTTATCCTAGCTATAGAAAAGACTATAAGCTTATATATAAGTATATTTTTAATTTTAGGAAGTATATATCTTATTTACTAGCTAGAATTTAACCTTAGAAGCTCTAATTCTAGATTGCTTTTTCTTTTTAATTACTTAAACCTTAAAAGGCGGCGGTAGCACCGCCTGCGTTGTTTATACTATCCGCAGGATATTTTTAAAAAGTTTAGCTACTTTAAAGGTAATAAGCTGCCCTAACTACTTATAGTAAAAAAGCGGTTCGCTTAGGCTATTTAAAGGGGTGGTTATAGCAAGAGCGTTTAAGAGCGCTATTATAACGGGCTTAAATGCGACTAGTATTATTGCTCTGGAAAGGCTTAGTAATATAATATAAAGTATTAATCTAAAGTATAAAATTAGAGTAAAAAGCTAAAAGTAGAGAAGGTTAATAGTATTATTTTTCGAGAGAGGTCTGCCCTTCTTTATATATATTAATATAATATTTAGCTGTGCTATAAATATTTACTATACCCTTTTCTAGCGCTTTCCCTTTATTAACCTAAAAAGACGCCTAATATTGTTCCGATATATTAGAAAGCTTAATTAAGTTAAGCTGTATAGAAAGGCAGTTGCTTATACGGATATTACTAATAGTTTTAATATAAGATTCTAGTAATAACTATTAGAGCGAATACTAAATTATACTAGTATTCTACTAATATAGTAGAGACTTTAAGTAGGTAATAGACTTAGGGCCTGCAGGACGGGATTTTAGTCCCGGTCTTAGATTAATATAAAAAGTAAAGGCAACTGTGCAGGACTACGCTTAATAGGTATAAAGCGGTAGGGCTTCGCCTAACCTAGTAGGTAGTATTCTAGAGAAAAGTATAGATTTTATAAAAGTAGCTATTTAACCCTGCTTATAAACTTAACAGTTATTAAGGAAATAAGTTATTCCTTGCAAACCCTAGACTTAGCACCGGTATATTCTGCATACTTAACCACGCCAGCCTCTAACCCGCCTGGCAAAAATTGTAAGAAACTTTAAAATTTTTAGACCGTCGAATATTCGGGCCTATTATATTATTAGCAGTATCTACTACTATATTCTATTTAGAATTTTTTATCTAAAAAGCCGAGTTAATAGCAGAAAGTATATACTATATTAAAGCCTGCTAATCTAAGAAATAGTATTATAGTTTTAAAGCTTTAAGTAATAGGCTTTAAAAGGCTGCAGTAAAAATTACGGGACAAATCGAACGCCTAGAAAAAAAATGTGCAGAATAAATTTATAAAAAAGGTAGGAAATTCCTATTATAGGCAGAGATAACTAGGGTAAGTATAATCGAAAACAATTAGCTTAGAAGTATATTAGCGTTTAGAAAACTATTATATTAATCTTTAAAGGCCTAAAGAACTCTGCCCTTAATCCTAGATAGATTATATTAAGAAATAAGTAGACGCGTATAAAGTATAAGCTTATTCGGGAGTTAAACCCTAATAGGGTAATTTTTTAGGCAGCAGCCTTAGCACCTTCTATTTAAACGGCAAGCTATATATAGAATTATATATTTAACTATTTTATTAAGGAGATAGAGCCCGAAGAAGTATAGATATAGCCTCTAAAAATAGGAAAGATCCTGCACGTTTTTAGAGTAGAAAAATTATTTACATAATTATAAAAATATTATAAATTTCTTAAAGGTTAGTTAATTTAATACATAAAATTAGTAAGAAGTTAATTATTCGCTAGCCTTTAATAGTTAATTAGGCTTAAAAGCTACTTTAATACAACTAAGGAAATAAAAACGCACCGAAGAAAACGCTTAATAAGCCGAATAGTTAGCGCTAGGTATATTAAGCCTTACTACTTAGTTATATATAAGGCTAATTATTAAAATTCCTAGCCTATAGCCTAAATACAGGTGCTATATCGGTAGGCAGGCGTAAGTAAAAAGCTTTTATTATTTATAAGGTACTACTAATAATATTTACTATAGAAATTAAATATAGATACTTAAATATACTAATTAGTTAGATACTACTTCTAGGGGACCTACTATTTAATACTCTCTAGAGTAGCTATTAATAGAAATAGGAATATAACCTAGAAAAAAGATTAATAATAGACTGTATAAATATATTAGCCTTTAAAAATTAGAGCTAAGATATTTCTATTACTCTAATAGTTAGTAATAAAAAGGGGATAAATCTAGTTAAGAAATTCTAGCTTATATCTATATAAACTTTACTATAGATCCTATTACGCGAACCTTATATCTAGCAGAAATATTATAAGAACTATTTTTAGATAGGTTTTTATATTCCTAGTATACTAGGGAACTTATATCTGCCTTAGGATTATAGATCTAAATTAATTTACTTTTCCCTATTATTTTTCTAGGGGATACTACTCCGTTAAATATTATACTATTTATATATTTCTTTTTTTCTTTAAGTGCTTTTGCTCTAGTCTAAATATAGTTATAAATTAGTTTAAATAGATATTAATACGGGTTAAATAACTATATATACCTTCTTAGATATAATAGAAGGCCTTTAATAGTATATTAAATATCTAGCAGATCTGCTAATATTAATAAAGTTCCTTTAGGCCGAATATTATATCCTTACTAGTTTCTTAGCAACGTAACACCGCTTAATTCTAGGCTTAATAGATAGTACTATAGTTCGATTGAATAATAACTTAATTTAAATATACGCCGTCTATAAGGACTGCTGTTTTTAGTGCAATATTAGCGGCTGAACACAATATACTGCGGATAATATAGCTTATTTTGCTACTTACTGTAACTATAATATATTTTAATATTAATAGGCTTAAGAATTTACAACTCCAGCGTTTCTACCTATAAAGCTAAGGAAGGTTAGCTATATAGTGCGCGTTTTATAGACTTATACTATTAATAGTAGAATAATATACAGTTAAAGGCGCGCAGCATATATAGGAAGAGGAATAAATTTAATAAGCTTAAGAATTAGGGAAAGGGTGTTAAGGTAGGCGTTTTCTAGCAGTTAGCTAGGAGAGAAAAGCTATAATTCGCGCAAAGATCTGTTAGCCGTTAGTAACTAAGGGTGGGATAGATTAGTTAATATTTACCTTAATATCTTGCAAAAATATAACCTTTAGGAAGTGTGTATAGAGTAGGCAAGAAGCGTAAAAAAAGGTAGATCTTAAGCTTAAACGCAGAGCAACTTTACTAAACTGCACTACCGGCAATTAGCGAAGCAGAGTCCACGGGCGTAAGGGAATATAAATGTGTTGCTTAGTCGATAAAAGTATATAACTGCTCTCGGGCGTTAGCGCCCAACGGCACGCCTACCGTGCTCGGGTGGGGCTGCAGCCGGTTTTGCCCTTAAAGTCCTTGCCCTACTAAACATCTTTTTCGCGTCACGTGCGTAATAAGCCAACCTCTCCTGTTTTACTTGGTTGGGTAATTTAACTGTTAAGCAGCGGAATAGGAAAGGTATCCGCGATAACGCGCATTTTAGCTGTGTATTTAGCCCTAGTCTATAGTGTTAGAGTCGCTAGATACCTGTAAATAGCCCTCTTAATATCTGCAAGGGATTGTATAATTATAGCCTGTTCTTATTCGTACAGCAAACGGGTTATTAATTTCACTAAACGCCTACAGCTATATAATAGACCTAGTAAGATAATTTAAATTAGGCGCCTAGCTTACGTGGCCCGCGATACTACCACAAATGCCGCCTTCTTGCATGCTCCGTGCCTGTTGCTGTTAGATCTTTTTTACACCGCCTTTTTACCTTACCCGACGCTATAATATTAAGTCCTACTAATATCTAGTTAGATAACGTTTTCGGCGCTAGCAGCGTACACAAAAACCCCTATATACCTGCACTACCTTCCTAAGCCGTGCAGAATAATACCCTTATCCTCCCTCCGTTCTTTTGCTTGCGCTTTAAAGCGCACATGCTCCCTTTTTACTAAGATAAGTCTGCCGCCAAACGGTCTATTGCCGACCAATAACCCTTGTCTTCCTGCCCCGAAGCGCCTACGGTCGACCGCGCGTAAAATGCTTCTAGCGCGCAGTTCCAGGTTTAAACCCGAGGGCTGCATAAATAAATATAATTATAGAGACTAAAAATAGCGGGGCGCTAAACAGGACTATAGTATAGCAGTATAACTGGCTACTAAAGCCTGTTATCTCGCGGTATTTAGAAAGGAATGCTGCGGACGGCACTAATCTAGATACAACACTACAAGTAACTTAACCTATAGTTATCTTAGCCCTTACTATAATAGCGACGCCCGCCTAAAGTAAAAAGCGCGGTAATAACTAGGCCCCTTCGGCCTCGCAAGCTAGGGACAATTTATCTAAATTTCAGAAGTTGCGCTATTTATATCTTATTAATTTTCTTGCTT